CATTAGGTGACTTTGCATAATTTTTAGGACCTGATCTCTCTTTAAGGTAACAATCATACAATTGCACTTGTTCCCGTGCTCTGTTAGTATCTCTGAGAGTTTGTGTGCCACTTTATGACCCAGTTATTGTGTTTTTTAACCTGCTCCTCCAGCAGCTCAACGTGATGCAACAAATCTACCCCGCGCCAATTACAATCAACAAAACGTTGAGAATCTTGCTCTCTTGCTGTGTTCACAGGAAGGTAGGACTTTTTTTTTTTTTTTACATCATCAAAAGATATTATGAGGTGATTCTTATGATGCATTTCAGTCAAACACTCTCCTTCAAAGAGCTCTTCATATTCATTTGAAAAAATAGCCCAGGCTCATTGGAAATACTTGCCTCGTCCTACATTTTTTCTAGTATGTAAACTACACTATTTAGGGCACATTTCAGGTGCTAAAAAAAAAAATTATATATATATATATATTATAGGGTGCATTTTGTTTATATCACACATTTTGTTTGAACGTTGCTCATGTCAAATCCACTAGAGGGCGCTGTCTACATTTTTGCAAACCTGAAATATGGTACTTGGCATACATTTTGATGCATTTTTGTAGACAGCCCCTCCAGGTGGATTTAGCATCCGAAACGTACAACAAAACATACCCAAAGTAACATTCTTTATATTTCTAAAAATGTAGACAGCGCCCTCTAGAACTATGTCTATAACAATGTCTTTATTAGATGAGCGCATGCTAGTTTTACATAAAATTGTAGCCTAAATAACGCATTTCAGATTTGCAAAATGTAGACAGCGCCCTCTAGTGGATTTGTCATCTGAAATGCAAAGCAAAATGTAACCTAAGTAATGTATTTTAGATTTCAGCAAAATTTAGACAGCGCCCTCTAGTGGATTAGTCATTTAAAACATACAATAAAATGAATCTTAAGTAAAATATTTTAGATTTGCAAAATGTAAACAGCGCCCTCAAGTGGATTTGTCAAATGAAACGTGCAATGAAACATGCCCCAGGTAATGTATAAGAGACACTGACTGTCCATTTTTTTGTATATCATGATAAAAACAGAGCTGCAATAAAAGTGTGATGCAAAAAGTGTCAAATGTAAGGCTCAATTTGAGCTTTGGTTAGCGTTCATTCTGGCGGCTGACTGCTTCTATAAAGCATTTTCGTATATTAGTACATAAAGTGGTCATTTATACTTAAAGTACTCAAAGTTACAATAGCTGAGTGTCTGAAACATCACACTGAAGTTTATTCTCTTAAAGCATATCAAGCACTTCTCTTAAAAGTATGCTACAGTGTTTATCCTCAACTCTTAGCAAATGTCTTTATTACTAGCAGGCTAGTTTTGTTAGCACTAAGCACTTGACATTCACTGTGCATGTGTTGTATATCATGATCAAAACAAAGAGCTGCTATAGCAAAAAAAAAAAAGTGTTTTTCCATCACGTGACGGAAAAAGTGCAAAATGTAATGCTCAATCTGATCTTTCGCTCGCGTTTACTCTGGCGGCTAACTGCTCCAGTCACGCAGTTCATGGTGTATGTCATTATTTAAAGGGCTTGCTGTGCGCAGATTAGAGCCGACAGACCATGCTGTGATCTCGCTTTTCTGTACTCTGTCTGCATTTACAAACTGCAAGCAAAGACACAGCCATAAGAACAAAGCTATTACTTGTATAAGCTCAACGTCTGGAGCTGTTTCCCCGAGAGCGTCTGTTCCTGACTTCTGTTTATATGTGTTGATATCTGGACAGTGTATGTTTTCTGCTCCAGCGCTTTCATTCTCAATGCATTATTATTCTTTATTTCAGCAGCCAGAGTAACTCGTGCACCTCTTTTCTTTAACATGTTTGGACAGCAGAACTCAGATTATTTTAAACTGAAATAATCCTCTTTAAAACGCTGCTGAAAAAAGAACTGCTGGCTGGCTAGTTTTAGCTGGTCGACCGAGAGGGGTCTGGCTGCAGACTTGGTGCAGTGCAATCTGGGCTGCATCCAATGCTTTTTAATGGGCTCACCTAACCCCACCCATCACAGTGACGTCACTAGCTCCATTTGAGTGCATTGTGTGTGACATTGCTTCGCTGAGTGATGCAGTCTCAGCTTGCATCATAAAGGCTGCATCCAGATACTATTGGGTCGACCAGGGGTGTGTTTCCCAAACAACAACATAACTCATGGTTGATCTATCATAGTACGATGCATCATTTTGGAAAAGAAAGATGTAGTGACGAGTGTTTCCCAAAACTCGTAATTTCTCTGTCGCAGATTTATCGTTTGAACTACGTTAGTTATAACGTAAAATGCCCATTATGATGCTCTAAACAGGGTGGAGTAACTACTTCTTTAGAGAGGAACCCTATAATTTCTTTGTGCAAATTATATTGTTGCATGCACACCCATTAAGAAAAAATCCGGTCCCACTTTATATTAAGTGTCCTTAACTACTATGTACTTACATCAAAAAATAATTACAATGTACTTACTGTGTTTATAATGTATTTGAGAACACTTGTGGTGCTTTTGAGTTGGGATAGAGGTTGGGTTATGGACAGGTTTGGTGGTTTGGGTAGGTTTAAGGGTGGGTTAAGGTGTAAGGAATGGTCAACAGTGTATTTACAAATGTAATTACCAAAGTTAATTACAGATGTAATTACATGCATGTATTTAATCAAGCATAAGTACACAGTAAATACATGTATTTACACAATAAGTACATTGTAACAAACTATTAACTCCTTTGTAAGTACATATTAGTTAAGGTCACTTAATATAAAGTGGGACCAAAAATGCAATATTAGTTCTGGTAAAAACATGCACTCGCTTTCCATATTAATTGAAACGACACATATAGGGCACATTTCCTTTAACAAACATTATTGAGAGCATTACATATTCTATACTAAAACATAAAATCACTTATGAAAGCAAACACATATACAGTACAGATACTTAATAAATAACATACTATAAATGAAAAGCATTAACATGTGCTGTTTTTAGTTTTCACAAGCTTTGGAGACGTGTAAATAGTAGGTCACCTATAGCTTTCAACATGAGCGACGTCTGTGTTCAAAATGACAATGTTTTCAAAGTGCACTGCAAAGGGAGCACAATTGTAAACCTGAAGCTCGCTAAAACTGGCCTGTAAAAACACTTTGAAAGCAAATTACACCTAAGAGAGATGACTTTAATGCTTTATTTTTAAGACATTATTCCAAGTTTAAATGTTAGAATGTACTAAATGAATAGGACATAGGGGAAATGAATAGGACATAGGGGGAATAGAACACAGCCAGGAACTATGTTTCTAACTACAGCTCCAGAGGTGTAGTTGCAAGCATACAAGTTTGCGACGCAGTTTGCGAATGCTCATTGGAAAGACGGATTTGGGAAACGCCAAATTACCTGCGACCTTAGTTGGCTAATGATGGTTGGCGGAAATGCATCCCAGCTCAGTTTGGGAAATGACCAGCTAAAACCAGCTTGACCAGCCTGGTTTAAGCTGGACAGCTGGTTTTGGCTGGGCTCCCGGCCTGGCTAGGCTGGTCAAGTTGGTTTTAGCAGATCATAACTAATAACAATTTTTTTTTTCAATAGGTTATGGATAAAATATGGCAATTCTAATGCTGCATTCACAATAGACACAGATGAAGCGTCAAGGATGAGTGATTTACATGTTAAGTCAATGCAAAGCCGTGAATAAACACCTTGCAGTGCGACTTGCGCGAATGAAGCAGTGCAAGTTGAACGTTTTGCGTGTTTGATGTGCTTAATGCGCATTTCGCGCGGATCGCTTGAGTTAAAAATTCTGAACTTCAGCAGACATTTGTGCCACGTTAACCAATCAGGAGCTTGCTCTTGTCAAGACGTGATTATGATGTAGTGCCTGCTGTTGATGTTGACTCAGCTCAGTCTGAAGCATCGCTGAAAGTTCCATCATCCAGGTATAGCTTCTGGAGAAGTTTATGAGCTCAAAGGGCTGGATGCACCTCTGACAGCATTTAGTGGACTCAGACATGGCGCCGAATGAATCTACACTGTTTTTCAGCATTCCTAAAGCATATGAACACAGCTATTCTCTCAATAAAATCCATGTTAGCCATTTAGCAATGAAGCTAGAGTCACCGGGCAGACAGAAACCCTGCGCATGATGCAAATCCGTGTCTATTGTGAAGTGAATTTGACGCGCAAATGAAGCAAGTAAACTCAAAATGTTCATTAGCATGATTTATTTGCATGCGCCGAGTCTGCACAGCATAACAGTTTCATTAAATGAATTTGATTTTTGGAAAGCACCAAGTGACCCCCACTTTGGAAACCTTTTGGGAGCTGGCAATTGGTGTAAATCACCATGAAAACACTCAATAAATAGCAAACCATGCAATACCAGACATTGTTTTCTTTTAAGATTCAAAATAATGTCATACTTCAATTTAAGGTATAATTCTTACTATTAACAAAGCATTTACTATGACTTTACGCTGCTAAATTGCTGATTATTAATAGTTATTAAGGTAGTAGTTTTACGTTTTTATATCAAAATTATTCATTGCATTTACTACATTTATTTGACTGGTTGCAAACAATTTATATTTGCTGAATTTAAACAAACAAATTAAATGTAATAATGTTCAACTTAATTTGTTCATGTAAAGTCAGCTCATATTGATTGTTTGCAACCAGTTACCTTTAAATAAATTGAGTAAATACAATGAATATTTTTGTCAGTGATTAGGAATGTAAACTAAGATCCTACTTTATAAGTGCTAATAAATATATTAATAATTGGCACTTATTAAACCAATAGTTGATAGTGGGAATTGATACTTAAGCTAAAATGTTACCATATATATATATATATATATATATATATATATATATATATATACATACATACATACATATACATATATATATATTAATATTATATTAATTACATTTTTATTAATTAATATTATATTTATTACAGTGATATTCAGTTCCCAC